CAGAGAAGAGAAAGCACAGACAGCTGCAGGTGACTTACTCCAGCTGTGGGAATAGCCCTCCCCTATCATGTCAGTGAGCACAGCTACTCACCGGCCAGTGGAGGCTGTCGCTAGAGCCCTGTGGGTGCAGGGGCCTTCCCGGCAGTTTACCTGCACAATACATGCCAGTATCCCTCCCACCTGCACAACAGTCTCACCTGGGTGGGATCCTGCACACAAAAATCCAAATTGCCTTTCTCCCGAGTGTCTCTGGACACTGAGGAATTTAGCCATTCCTACCAAAATATGGACCATATACAGTACTCTCCCAACTGTGATGGCAACTTGTGCCCCTGATGAAAGTGATTTCATAAGAGTCAAGTAAGGTGAAAGCTGAGGTAGGAGAGTCACCCCAGGAGAGAGCAGCTTCCTGTGCTCCCGAGGGAAAGATGAAACACCTGAGGGAAATTAGAACTCGGAATCTACAGCAATCAGAAGGCTGTGAGAAGGAAAGTGGAAAAACCTGTGCTTCTCAGGACTCGTGCTGGGGGCGGGGAGGATGTACATACTGTGGGGATTGTCATGGGCAGTGCATGCCTGACCAGCCCACCCCACCCTCTGCACCGAACCCACAACTGTTACCATCGACCAGACCAACGATCTGTAGTTCTGGATAACTCACAGCAGGAACAACCGGCTGCTGGGGCCACATCTCATAACCATGTCCGGTCAAGCTGTGGTTGCTGCCCCTGCTCCTTAGGGGCCATCACAGATGTGGACACAACACGTGATAATCAGTGAATCTCACAAATTCCAGAGGGTGCTGCTCCCACCTCTGTGATATTATCATCCCCAAGGAGCAACTGATTTCCCCGATGGCCCATGGACGCAGTTCAAAGTGACCAGGTGACAAATAGAGAATGCCTTGGTAAATGAGGAATACAGGGAAGTCTGGTTCCTGTGATGGGAAGAATGATGGGAAAGACAGAAAGGTGCCTATTTCATGGGGAGATTGCACAGGCCAGCTCCTCCATAGAGACTCACAGCCACGCCCCCCCATTCCGTCCAGCTTTGTCTCAAGGCCAATGGTGCCCATGGAAAGTCAAAGCTCACGAGATAAAAGAACACTGGGAATAAATAAAATGAGCATCATTTGTCGATGATGTGACCGTGCCTATAAGATCTGCAATAAACATGTCTTCACAAACTATTAAAATAAGGGAATTTGGTTACAAGGCCATGCAGCACGGCTTGCTTTCTCTAGAGTGTTCAGAGATTAAAAGTTAAATAACGATATAGAACAGCATGAAAATGAAATAGGCAGGAACATATTTAATGAAAGACGGTCAAGACCTCCAGAGAGAAGAGAATAAAACTTGAGCGAGCAGTTCTCCTCCCAGGCGTATGCCAAAGGCAACGCGCTCACACAGGACCAAGCAACCTGGACAACAGCCGCCTTAGCAGCGCTGCTGGCAAAGTCCCAGCCTGGGGAAACCTACTTTTTGTGAACAGAAAAGCAACAAGCTGCGCGCTATTCATTCCGTGACAGGTTAGAGGGCCACACCGAGGACTTCTCCTCCCGTGACGACATTCATGAATCTCACATCCTAGCAAGGACATATATATTTCAAAAATATCAAGTTCACGGACACCCCAAACTGAGCGGCAGGGCTGGTCAGGAGTGGTCGGCTGCCCCTGGGGGCGGGGGCAGTTTGGGGCGAACTT